CCCCCGGACGCTCGTCTGTCTGTCTGTCTGTCTGTCTGTCTCGCTGCGGGTGAAGTGAGTGCTCGTACCAGCACCAGCACCAGCACCAGCACCAGCACCAGTGCGAGTGAAGCCATTGAAAGCGATTTGTCAAGTCAAGCGCTCCAGACCAACGTCCCCTGTGCAGGTGAGCAGTCACCTTGTCACCCTCTGCCACGGCTACCTAAGGTATGTACTAACCTATGGACCATGGTGCGAGTACGGGTACTCGTACATACGAGTACAAGCGCAATTGGAAGGGTCAAGCGAGGGCGCCTTTTCCCTCCCTCCGAGCCAAGACACTCTCCTACAATGGTCCAACCTGCAAGGCTGGGCCGGGCTTGTCTTGGACATGTTGACTTTGCCAGAGACAGCATCCCGTGTCGTTGGTCTGAATGGTCAAGGCGACTAATACTGCTGCTAGTACTGGTAGTACGGAGTAGCTTCACTGCAGCACTGGCATGCTCTCCGTCTTCCTCTCATTAGCGTTCGCGCCTTTCACTCTAGTTGCCAAGAACCGGGCCCGTGGATTTGCTTATCCAGGTTGGCTCGTCATCCCCGTCACTCTCACACATGCACTCTGTACCAGTATGCAGTAGTGCTCCATCCAGGTCCGACCTGCAAATGGGAACGTACGACGGCGCACAATATGGCCTCCCCTGGCCATCCGAGATTTGCTGGGTAGCTTCGTTCCGAAAGACGTCGTTGCATCCTCCCGCCTTCCGCTTCCCGCCTTCCGTCTTCCCCGGCGAGGACCAGGCCCTTAGGCTATGAGCCAGGGATTGCCTTGATGTGGAGTTTTCTTAAGCGGAGAAGCTTGCCACGACAGTCAACCCCCTTCAACTCGAACCGTTGACCTCGAATCAGGATGGGCATGAAGAAAATGCTATCAGGTCTCACACCCTCCTCCGAGATGTGAGCCACACGGGCGTGCTGCTGTCTCTTCTCTGTCTCTTCTTCGTGTATTCCGTCAAAATTTTCCCGGTGCCTCCCTGTCTCATCCATGTCTCATCCATGGGCGTATGCACTCACACACGCACGCACGCACACATGCACACACGTGCCTCTGTGTGATAGTGATGGCACGATACATATTACCCCTTCACACCCTTTAGCTCATCAGCCTGTTCATAGTCCAAGTGGACCAGCTGAAGCTTAGCATTGATCTCACGGCGGCACTGCCGGTTTGGCATGACGCAAAAGATCATGTAGACGTGCCAAAGCATAGCTGTGGGTTCCCAAAAGCGATCATGGCCTTTCTGTCTATGCAGAATCTGTTTGGCACCTAGTGATGCCATCGATAGACAGCGTAAAGGCGGCTTATCCTTACAATTTTAGCATCAAGTCCCTAGCAGGCTATGTTTCTATATTGAGAACCCTTGCTCTTCTTCTCCCTTCTTTGGTGTGATATGTCCTGGATTACTTGCAATAGTACCTAGTACCTAGTAACCGCCACCAGGTAGTTCTGTCTCGGATATGCTTGAAGCCCAAGTCAAAAGTCTTTGCCCTTCCCCTTGTGATCGCCAGTGGCGCCCCCGTCACCCTCTTAGCAGCGAAACGTTGGGTGATGATGTCAAGGTAAAACATGGCCTTGAAGCTCACAGGTCTTGAGAGGTCAGGCTAGCATGCGAAGATGACGGCTTGGTATAAGACAGTACTAATTGATTCAGGGTGTGCAGAAGAGACGCTTACGGCGCCCGCAAGTTGTTGTTGTTCTTCTATCCTTACCGTCTTTGGATCCAAAGTGCCAGCCTTTTTTTTTTTTTTTACCGTACATGGAGTACGTGGCACAATGAGAAGCCAATTCGACCAGCCATTTCTCTCTGAGAATTATCACGAGTCTCAAGTCTGACCTGCATCATTGCACTGCCAGAGTCTCTGGTTAACAATATGAGGGTATTACAACATGGTTCTGAATTGTGTTGTTATATCCTCCATCTTGGCACCCCCGTATTGACTCGCTAAAAAAAGACTCACCAGCGGGCAATTTTGCCTGCCAAAATGAATGAGATGTACAGTGGAACGAAAGCACCAATCATGGTCGATGAGAGATGCCGCAACCCGCATTGGAACTGCTCGCTTGTTCATGGGCCACCCCGCCCTGAAGCCCGCATTCAAACGTGGCCTGGAGGGAGCAGGCTGTCATGTATTAGACTCATGTCTATGCTCATCAGGTCTCAAATCACCTCTGGGTGCCAGACTATTATCTCACACCAACGTACGAGGCGCCTCACTTGACCGGGCCTGGCTGGCTAGTTTTCCTTGCATGGTAGCGGTTGGAGCCTTTGCTCTGTGCCAGTTGTACGCGCCAGAGGATGACCTGTCAACTCGATTTGCCTGCGTTGGACCAAAAAGTATATTAGCCGAGGGCGAAATTGGTGCGGCTGGTGCGGCTGGTTGTCAAGACTGTTGTCAATGGATGAGGGTGTCGTGCTACCCGCCCTGACGTAACGGTGCGGCGGCATGGCCGACAGATCAAGTTTCTTTTGCCAGCCATTCTGCTCGTTTTGGGCATTAACCTTTCTTTTTGCATTTGGCATCCATTGATGCTCTGGAATAGCGGTGCCTTGTGCTTGTTTGGCAATGGGTCGTATGCCAGTGGGAGTGGCGCAACGCGGCTTTCGCTGCTGAAAACTTGGTGACGGGTGACGCATGGCTGGCCGATGGGGGTTCCGTTGCCGGAAATAGAAAATAGGAGTTGGCCTGGTTAGATTGCTTGCTGCTGGTGGCGTTGGGCAGCTTTTCCCGTCGGCGGGCCAAGAGAGAACGCGAGGCCAGAGTTGGAATATACGACAGGGGGGGAAGATGTCGTTGGGATAGCCTCCTATAACATGACATATCCACCGACGACATGATGTTTGTCTGCTGTATTTGCTTATACTCCGTACGGATAGCGAAATTGTTGTTGGCTTTCACGACATCATGTTCCTCTTCACTGTGGAGAGCTTCTTCCTACTCATCATCTGCTCGCAAAGGTGAAATTACAGCTGCTTGCCATGGCATCACACAGAGACGTACATTTCCATTTTGGCTCATGTATACAATATATAGAATTTACAGAAACTCGCTGTTAGATGACAAGAATTCCGCCAACCCATCCTCCTTTGGGTAAATTTCCCAACATGTTCCTCCAGCCGGTGCCCTTGAGCCCTTCTCATCCGCCCACAAACGGGGCATTGATATTCCCAGAAATGCCAGTATTCCCCCCAGAAGTGTGTGTATATAATGGTAGGTATATGCACATATGCAAAATAAGTAACCTTTGAAAGAACCAGAAAAATATGTAATATCTCACGTCCCAGAAAAAGAATTCATTGTAAAGGAGAGGGAAATAAAACGCCATAGTGTGGTACGTTTTATTTGTAATTACGGTAGAGTAGTTGGGAGCGATGTAGACAACAAGATCGTTTGTATGTATAGAAAAATTAGGCGTTGTTCGTCGTAGGTATATAAATCGTTGAAAACATTAAGTTTAAGCGGAATGATTCGATTCCAAGTAGTAAGATGTTGATATAATAGCAATGATGGCGGTAATAGGGTCGAGTTCGATGGGATATTACATCACCACATCGAATGGTGAGAAGCCATCTATGAAATCGAAACGAGGGTGGCAAACGCGGTGCATAGGACGGCCAATGTAATGGTATAAATGGCAGGTCGTAGAGTGAGAGCTTCTGATGAAGCTGGTGGAAGAGTGCCATTGACATAATTTGGGCCACACAAAGTGTTCACTTGGCGGGCTGCGTCCACATAGACGTCGGCAATGGCCTGGCTTCGGTCTGCAGATGCAGAAAAGTAAATGTCCATCGTTTGCTGAGTGCACCAGCTGCAAGAGGGGTTGGAGCTGCCAGGTAGTGCCAAACCGTATGGTAAAAAGTAGAGGTAGGCGTCCGAGGGCGTGTCGAGGTTGGTGACGGCATTGGCAAAGCAATACTGGCTCTCTGTCGGATCCTGGAGACAAGTTGCCGCATACACCGTTTTGTAGGCCAACAGCCCGTGGTATGCCTGCAGGACTAAAGTCTGGTTCTGCGCAATCTCAGTCTTGCAATTGTTGCTCATGGTGAGATTCGTCGCGGCTTGGTCGAGAAATGTCGCACAAGAAGCCGAGTCAGCTCGGCAGGTTGCGTCGAGCACACGGACAATGCTGAGAAGCGACTTTTCGGCTTGAAAGAGGCCTGTCGACGTCTAACGTCTCTGCGTTAGCAAATTGAGCCATGACTAAGTGACATCCATAGTCTATATCCCACATTGGAGCTAGAGTGAAAGATACAAACTCACCTGCAGCATCATGGAGAGGGGGTAACAGCTCTTGAACGTAGGATCTGCGAGAAGGCCGGATATGAAGCTGGAACAGGAGTCGGTTGAGCCCGAGCTCTCGAAGGCGGAGGCCGGCGTATTGTCGAATGGCACAGGCAAGGTTGACGATGACGATACTGAACTGCTGGTTGGCTTCGACAACGCCGTGGTGGTAGTTGTAGCATGTGCGCTCCTTCGTCTCTTCTCGCTTTTCTTAGGAGTCGTGGCACTGTCGTCCGCCTCCTCGCCAACATCGCTAGAGAATCCATTAATCATGTCTTCCGAGGAAGGTGGCGAGGGAGGCTGGCTAAGATCGACTGATAACGCGGGAACGCGGGTCGAAGCACGGTGTGGTACGGAGGCAGCAGATGCGAATGTCGTCGCAAGACATACGACAAGGAAAAGCGCGAGTCGCATCTGGTACAATCGCAGTCTGGGCATCTTGGCCTTGGATCGCCCCTTATAGAGAGCCATTGGTGGGTTGAGCATGGTGACAGTCTTGATTAGTGGGTTTGATAACAGCCTCGGAAGCAATAATGGCACTTTTCGTCGTCTCAGATGGTGATGCCCTGGATAATCGGTCAAGTTGGCGTCGCAAGTAAGCTGCAGTCGAGGCGGCTAGAATTTCGTGACGGATGCCCGGGATGCTGTAGTGCTTATCGAGATATCAGGACCATGACTCGGCTTAGACAAAGGCGCGTATGATCGAGGTCGTTCTCGTGGTCGATGCCACAGGCAACTCGGCCCTGGAGAGGCGGTTGAAGGCGGCGGCGATGGCCCAATCCGCTCTCTCGACGGCTTGCTCCCTCTCTGTTCCCCTGAACGAACACGAACAGCGTCCTCTCCCGCCGAGGACTGTTCTGTTCTTTCTCTGATCCCTCCACCACCCCCCGTCTAATCCGTCTCGCGATGTAAGAGCCGGGGAATCTAATCTCGGGGAGGGAAAATAACGAAAGAGGGGAAGGGAAGCAAGTGAAAAGATTGACAGTTTCCAAGGCGATTGTCGGCACGGCAAGTGACACCAGAGCACCTACCGTGGCAGGCAAAGAGAGGCCAAGCAACCCAAGGCAAGATTACTAGTAGGGAAGGAGTTGGTGTTGATGCAGGGAAGGCCAAAGGAAGGATTAAAAGAGCAAAGATGTGCAAAGAAAAGGCCCGGAGCAGGAGAGACTACGACTGACTACCTCCCAGTAGGTCTCGGTCTAGGTCTAGGTCGCAAGTGCCTAGCATGGAGAATGGAGCATGGAGCAAAGTGGCAGATAGGGAAGGGACGGGGGACTGCAGCAGAGACAGACCTCCCGGCTGCGAGGCAAGCGCGAGTGGTGGTGCGTTTGGCGCTCTTGTTCGAGCAGGAGCCCCGCCATTGACGGTGTGCGCAGGACGAATCGGTACAAGCCCCATGCAGCTAGTGGGCTTCGGGCACGGGCATTGTGACAAAAGACGGGGTATGCAGCTGCGATTGGCAAGAAGCAGAGAGGCAAAGTTGGCAAGCACGCGGAAAATAGGCCTACTTGGTTCCCTTGAGGAGGGAAACAAAGGCCGCACGAGCCTTGGCCTGTCGGGGACGTGCCATTGGCCAAGGAGCTGAACTCTTCTTAATCTACATCGGCATGTGCAATTTGGACGTTGTTGATGCGTGCAGAGTTTGTGATTGGAACAGATACATAGCCGCCTGTGTTGGATTTTTTTCTTTCTTTGTTCTATTTTTTTTCTTTCTAATTTTTTTCTCAGCGGCCAGCCACGAGTACGTCCGGCTGCGAGCGAGAGCCAACGGGAGAGCTAGGCGAAGGAGCCTCCCCTGGCCTAGTGAGCGAGCGATGCCGTTGATAGCGCCAGGTGAGTTTAATTGCATCCCACAGCGTAGCGAGCCGGCTGCAAGCCACATGGCGGTGCTATTGGATGAACTTGTATTTGCTGATGGAAGAGAGGCTGCGAGCTGTTCACAGTCCAAGTACTAGTATGCAGTTATAAGACTACGACTGGGTAAGTAGTAGATTTTACCCATCTACACAACTCAGTGCATCTTTAGCCATCATCGTCCAAACCTTCCATTCGACATCCATCCAATCCTTCTACTGTACACTCGATCCTGTAGCACTGCAGACTTCAGGCTTCCTTCAGGTGGCACTTGTAAGGCGAGGTAGGGTAGCACTAAAAACCGGCGGCTCCCCTGGAAGCTCTAGAATCAGGTCGCGCTGCAAAGCAAATCAATAGCGCCAATGCAGAAAGCTTGGCCTTTTGCCGTGCCACCGGCTAGCTGTAGCTAGCGACAAACCGGCCGGTCTCTCCCGCTAAGCCTCAACGTGGCCACCGTTTTTGGTGACGCTGATGGGATCACGAACGGGGTTTGGCTGCGATATTGCCTTGCAGATTCTGTTTTTTTTTTATTTTATCTTGTATTTTTTTCTTCTATTTTCGTAGACCGGAGGGAGGCTAGAAGAGACCGATTGCGGTACACCCGCTGCAGCACCGTCCCTAAGTTGGTACCTGTAAAAGATCCATACAAGTCCAGAACGCAGGTGAGATGAGATACGACACGTAACAATGATTGATATTGCATCCATGGAGCTCTCTGCATTACCACCGGCATCGATCCATCAAACACCGACTCCCTGGCGCTTTTCACTCTCCAAAACCTCCGTCATTGAATAATTACGAGTGCTTCCACTTGAATGACAAAGTAACGGCTTTCTCGCCCCTTGTACCTCCTACCGTAGCTCACCCGCGCAAACCGGTCCTTGCCAAAGTAACCAGTACAGAAACAATCCGCAACGCAGCTCAAGAATGCACACGCGGCCTCCCCTGCCAAGGCACCGGAAATCAAAAGACGCCCGATTCTGTCAAATTTCAAACCACAGGTGATTGATTGATTGATTGACTGAAACCCCAGGCCAACAAAACCTGCCGCTGTTACTGCCAATCACGCCACCCACCGTCTGCCGTCAGCAACCAATTTTGTCTCTCCCTCTCTCTTTGCCTGCTTCGGTGTCTTTTTGTCCTACGACGTGGCTTAATAAGGGTCCAGAACAAAAAGAACAATTGAATGCCAACAAGAGAGAGACAACACACACACCGATAACAAAACGCCACCAATTGGTTCCCGCAAAGCATCACTTCTTCATCCCCTCCACTCAGATTACGGTACTTGTAATACTTGCGGATGCTCGTATAATACAAAGCTCTTATTACCATACCCTCGATTTTATCTCACGACCGTTGATTCACATCTTACAGCCCTCCTCTCAGAACAGTTACGATCAACATCACCAAAGATGCGGAACACGCACAGCCCCCGGGTTCTTCACCCCTCCAATATATCCCCCCTGTCTCGCTCGCCAAACTTTTTTTTAAAAAAAACCCCCCGGAGCAGATAAAATAAAAGAGTATTCGTAATGCTCCGGATTCTCGGCAACAACTCTCATCATGAAATAAAGAAAAGAAAACAGACACTTGGTTTCGGCCTGCCCTGCCGGTAACACGACATTAGCTTCTCCCCCCAAACCGCCACCTGAAATGTAGTTCAATGCAATATAGATGCCCGTGTTGTGTTGCCGCAAGTGTCTGAGTAGAATAGATTCTGGTGCGACACAAACTGGTCCCAGCTAAGCTTGCTTCACCGTCGGCACCGGAATAAGACGCGTTAGCTTCGTGCTCCGTATTCAGCTGCGCATGGTTAACAGGCCAGAGTAGACCATGATATCACGCACTGAGACGTTGGCGTCAATACTTGAAGATTACATGTACTGTATTTTTACGAGTACAACGCCACCGCCATGCAGTTGAACCTCACGCATTACTCTCCACATCAATTGAACAAGCAGCATTCGACATAAAAAGAAGGTAATTCAAAAACGAACGTAAACGGTAGGAGTGGCGTGTTTCAATACAAAAAATTGGAAAAAGAAAAAAAATACCATACAAGTCTACTTGAAAAAGAATGATGGGCGTCTGCCCTCTATTCCTCCCTCAGGGCCTTGAAGAGAGATTCAATCTGAAAGAGAAGAGAAAAAAAAATTAAAGATTATGTCGTCTTTTTTTTGTGTACATGTCCAAAAGTAGTCTCATCCAATGCCTCGCCAACACAAGTAAATGCCAATAGATGTTAGTACCTAGTCTGCTCTTGGATAGAGACCATTCGTTGGAATACCGCTGTTTACGAGCTCGTTGCCAAGCTTTGCAGATTGACCAGTTCAGCGTAGTGGCCATTCTTCCTCATCAGTTCCTGGTGGGTTCCAGACTCAGCAACGCGGCCTTGGTCAATCACATAAATAACGTCTGCTTTCTGAATCGTGCTCAGACGATGCGCAACCGCAATCGTGGTGCGTCCAGCGGCAGCCTTATCTAGAGCCTCTTGGACGACAGATTCAGATTCAGAGTCAAGGGCAGACGTGGCTTCGTCCAGGAGCAGGATCTTAGGGTTGCGAATCAAAGCCCGGGCAATGGCTATACGCTGCTTCTGGCCGCCAGAGAGCAAGCCGCCCTTGCTGCCGACAAACGTGTTGAAACCATCAGGAAGTGAAATGATAAAGTCATAGATATTCGCCTCGCGGCAGACGTGTTCCAGCCGCTCCTCTGAGATATCCTCCTCAGGCGTGCCGATAAGAATGTTTTCCATGATTGTGCCCGAGTAGAGGGCCGGCTCTTGGCTTACAAGCGAAACAAACGATCGATAGTTGCCAACATTCAGGGTGCCAATGTCCTGGCCATCAACAAAGACACCACCAGACAAAGGATCGTAGAATCGCTCTAGTAGTGAGATGGTTGTGCTCTTGCCACATCCAGAAGCGCCAACCAAGGCAACGTACTGGCCAGGCTTAATCGTCAGGTTGAGACCCCGGAGGACAGGTTGATCTGGCCTGGTTGGATAACGAAAGTGGACATCACGGAATTCCACCGTGCCTTGGATATCGCCCTCGGCTATGCGCTGGCCATCCTTTGACCAGGCATCGATTTTTGGTGTCCGTTCAAACAGCTTCTTCAACGCCAGTGCCGATGCATGAGCTTTTCCCATATCAGGCGCAAGCGAAAATATACTTCCTGCTGCCTGCGCACTGTATATGATGCCCATGAAACAGACGAAAAAGGTGAATAAGTCATACTCTCTGGTGGCGAGCAAAGTGCCGCCATACCAGAATCCAAGGCCAAAGCAGAGAAACGATGCACCTTGAGCGGCTCCGTAGAGGGCGCTTGATGATAACATCGATTTCAAGCCTTTGCGTCGTTGAGCTGCAATGTCCTCACGATACATGTACATAATATCTTGCTCGCGAGTAAGTGACGCAACGGTGCGAATGGATGAGATGGCCTCGGAGGCATATGCGGCAGACGACGCGTATGCATCTTTTGCCCTGCTTTGGAACCGAAGCAATAAGTAGAAGCGGAAGAAGCCACAGGCCAACAACACCGGAATGGTTGCCGTACAAACAAGTGACAGCTTCCATCCAAGAGCCAGCCCCATAATCATCGAGGAGAACAGAGTAGACAGCGTC